GGAGGCAGTATGACCTCCGAAACGTTGGTTAACATCGACCAGACTACACAGCGCAACAACCCAGAAGACAGAAATCTTCATACTCTGATGACGGAGGCAGTATGACCTCCGAAACGTTGGTTAACATCGACCAGACTACACAGAGCAACAACCCAGAAGACAGAAATCTTCAAGCTTATATAAGTTGAAGATATACAAATCTTTGGTTGGAGATGTGAGGATGATATTAAAATAAATCTTAAGGTGGAGGGTGGACTACGTTCGTCTGTGTAGGGATAGAGACCACTGTGAACACTGTAATGAACTTTAGTGTTCCGTAAAAGGCGGGAAGTGTCTTCACTAATCGACAAGGGACAAACAGCATGTTAAGAAGGAATCTGTTTTTTCGAGTTAGCTACTCACCTGCTTTGATGGATTTAGCGTGGTTGACTCTGAGGCAAGCGAAAAACGATATAAGTCCCAAAACAGTTACAGTAGTCTTCATTGTACTGGTCGTCGTCGCTGATTCAAGCGTCTCAGGCTCCGTGCTTTGAACAGTTGTGGAGTTACTGCTGTGTCGTCCAATTTGTTCCACTTTTCATGTTTATATATATAGGCTGATTTCAGATTCTGATTAGATTGTGGTCATAAGCAGGACACACAAAAAGTACAATTTTTTAGGCCTGCTTATAAGAGGCCAAAGCTAGCTGATACATAAATTTAAGACGTTTCTCGATAACCTATTATTGTGTGTATATCAGTGGGATTAGTTTATAATCCCTTGTATTGGACGATTGATTTAACAATCTGGAATAAGTGACAGGTTCATACTACATGGATTATACTGAATAAAGTTAAAGTTAAAGTAGACTACGTCACAGCGGAGGACTGGTATCAAGATCTAGATCTCAGAACACATCCAAAGAGCAACTAGCTGATGCCGGGAACAATTGGATATCCCGAAAAATTCTATAAGTTCGTATCCCGCGAAAATTGTTTTGACTCTAGCTCTCCCAAAATTATTTGCTAGAAAAAGCTTTTTCTTGCCGCACAATAGGCCCAGTTCAAATGTAAGAGGATTATGCAAACTAACATGTTCTTGGCAAGTGACTATTGAATAGAAAAACTTATGAAATTTGCTGTGCCAGTTGCTTGCAACAGGTTAAGAGAAATAAATCTGGTTATACGAGCTGGTGAAGAAGAAGAAGAAGAAAGAAAAAAAACAAAAAAACATCATCATCATCATCTTAGACAGTTTCTGAATACACATTCTGAACTCATATTCCTCAGCGTTCTTTGAGTTGAGATTTCGTCCTGTGCACATTTGTGATTTGCTCGTAGAGGTCATGTACGTAATCCACAGGAAAAGTTTTTAATTTAATATCAAGTATAGATATTTAAATTTGATAGAGAAAATTGTGTTCAGTTCTTACTTTGTACTTGTTAGATTACCCTAATAATGGCGCAGAACTGTAGTACATCTTTCTTCCTATATATACTACGTTTTATAATGCCTTCGTTCACAGAAACTTCCATCAATTGCTTATTATAACACTGCATTTATTAATACCACTGTAATTTTCATATTCTTTTGTTAGAAGTCAAATGGTTTTGAACAGCGGAACAATATGCCTTTGCACAACAACGCGATTTTATCGTCGTAGGCCTACTTCTACAACATTTTTATTTACTTCATCAATATATTATTTTGTGATTATTTGCCCTTAATGAACATGTGTATCTATTAATAAGTGTTCTTGATGCAGTAAATTTTTGTCCATCTGGCATTGGCAAACTCCCAAATCATCGCCCTAATGGAGGCAGCAAGAACCTCTGAAAGAAGTAATAAACTTCCAGATTACAAGGCACTGCAACGCAGATGACACACGTCTCCCAAATCATGTTTCTTGTTTCATTCAAAGAAATCCTAATACATGTCGCGGACAACTCTTCCACGTAATCTGCGAACGATTTGAAAGAAATTTATGGCTTATGCGATGGTTGACGCTCTTTCAGTGCACTAGCTTACGCCCTGACGTGGCAACAGTAGTGGGCTAGTGGAACGAGCTGCCATCTTTTAGCAGAAATGAGAAACCTGTTTGCTGTGTCTTTATTGGATTAGCTGCGTGTAGGATCGCTGTAGGAACAGAACATTGTGATCGTCAGTATCATGCAGATGGTAGGACGAAGAGGGGGAGTTACGGCTGTCCTCTGTGCTTTTGAAGTGGCATTGAGGGGATAAATGTTCACCTACAGCATGGCACATTTAAACTTCGAGAGTGAAAAGTAAGGGGAAATTTTTTTTTGGTCATATTTCAACGTTTTACTCGGTGCTATAAGTTTAAGGTGCAATGCTTTCTTTAAATTTGATAGTATGTGTACTCTTTCCAGCGAGTTACTAGGTGAAAGAAATGTTTTTAGTTTACATGTGATTCAGGGTAAAAAAGACAAGTCGAAGCGAATGAAACATGTGTTGTTTCTGATGGAAAAATAAATTAAAGTGATTGTTAGGATTTGAAGTGAAGTCTAATTAGTAGTATCATTTGGAATAGAGTCCCTTTGAAAGACCTTGAATTTTACTCATCGTCCGTGTTGATGGAGACAACACGGCGCAATATTCCAGAAGATGTCGCCGTGAGAACATGGATAGGCACCTTGTTTGTTTGTAACGTGGTCGACAGGTGAAAGTAGATATTCTTTTATACGTAATCCAAGTTTACTCCACGTGTGTGTGGTTTATTTACATTTGTTGTGTAAGTGGTAATTGGAATGGAAGCTGTTTAAAGGCATCTGATAAAGTTGTTTATTGTCGCATGAAGGACAGAAGGTTGTGTAGGTGAGATTAGTTGGGAGGAAGCATTGTGGTGATTTCAGATTTTGATAGTTAAAGGAGAGGTAGAATGTGACCTTTGTGTCTGTGGACGAATCATTCGGCACACTAAAAACGGATAGTTGTCAGGTTCTCACAGCGATTGAGAATGAGGACTGGCTGTCTTCTGGGTTGTAGCGCCTTGTAGATGTTTACCGACGTGTCAGCCCAGAAGACGGCCTTTAAAAGAAACCGGACAATTCTTGCTCGCCAGTATCACCATGCCAGACTTTCCACACTCGACCTCCTTACTTGTGACTCGTTATCAAGAAATTAACATAAAGAACCATGCCAGGTAAGTTCGTGAGAGTACTCGGCCAAGTTTCCTGCTCAGCCAAAACTTAGTTGCCCGGATAAAATAATGGTACACTACAACCATGCCTGATCTACAGACCTTACAGAGCATATTTTTCAAATGCGTTCCTCGCCATTAAATATTAATTATTAAATTTGTTATCATTATGTATTCTCAGGACCAGATGAATCTGTTGATAAGTAAAGGCTTTCGTTCAACTGTTAAAACCGAGTGGTAATTATATGTACCACTTTAACAATCAGTATGGGTTTTCTATAATTCACAGTTAACATCGATAATTTCGAAGATTTCTGTCTTCTGTGTTGTAGCGCCATGTAGTCTGGTAGATGTTTACCAACGTTTCAGAGGTCATACTGCCTCCATCATCAGGGCGATGAGTAAGCCGCCCGCGAAGAAATCTCATTGACGTTGTACTATAGTTTTAGCTTTACTGAAGTATAATTATAGAATAAATAAGTGTGAGTGTTGATTGAACAGTGTTTTTAGTACAATGTCCTAATAATTTACAGCCCTGTTTGGTGTCGAACATCTGCTTTTGTTTCAGTGTAACCTTGGTGAATAGCCAATGTGACATGAGGGAACAGCAATTACGTGATCGGTCGGAAACTCGCTTCAAGCCCATAAATCAACACGCCGTTTCGTAAGTAAGAAAGACTCCGTAGATGTTATGAAAGAAACTTTTCTACTTCATGCTACAAGAGAGTATGTGGACTGTTTTGCAGTAGCTGCGATTCCAATGGAGGAGTAAGTCCATGTTTGTTGATCATCGCGTACAACTATCGTTAATAAATCATTACATTTCAACAAGTAAGGAAAGTAGTAATAGAACTCGTGATGAATCTTGAAGTCGTGTTATATAATTAATAGGGTTATAGGGACTAATAAATTCGAGAGATTTCTGCGAATGATTTAATTTCGCTTCTATAAAATGATCGAATATCTTCCCCACATCATTCGCGGTCACATTACTGACAAAGCAACCGGAAATAACAAATGACTGAAGCCAGAATGTGTCATTCGTGGGGGCGCTGTACTTAATTTGCAAGAAGCTTGAAGCGAGAGTGTGTTGTAACAAAACAGAGAACTTCGTATTGACAGGCAACCATAAGGATTATCTTTCAACTAACACAACCAAAAGGCAGAATGTTCTTACAACGCCGTTTTCAAGACTAACTGCAGGTCCACTCTGTCTGCCCCTAGTAATAAACTCGGCAGAGTTGCCCTCGGCGTTTGCAATTAACCAGAATCGAGCTCTGGTAGATCACTCAGAAACATCCATTGCATTGTGTATCTGCAAAGCATAAGATATGTATCGTTGAAGATTTTAAATGGAGCTTGCTTTATGTAATTCGAGGGAAAAAGCAGTTTCTTATTCTCCGTAATTTATCTGTAATCACATCCGCAATAAGATGACCCGAAGGTCAGCAGATCTTGCAAAATAAACGAATTTTACGCCAGTTTTTTTTTAACACTGACTACTTGCGCTACAAAAACGAGAATTACTTAATTCTGTGAGGAAACACGCATTTTGACCAACTTTATTGGTCCAAAGAGAAAGCTTGACAGTACGGACTTTTCTCTTTTATTTCCAGTGTTGGAATTTTCGTAATTTGCACGGAAGTAGATTTAGAAATGTCTGCCCTTGGTCGTATTTTACGTACGAACCAGACAATTGTCAACTAGCAGAAGGAATCAGTACAAGAGCCGAGACGCGTCACAGATCCTGCCAGCGCTTAAACGAGCTCAATTGACTTTGCATAGAACTCTTTCCAGCTGGTTGGCGGGGAGAGGTAGAGGACCATGGTTTGAACTCTGTTCTCTGAAGCGTGCCGAATGATTTGTTGAAAAAACAGTGACAAAGCTGTCCTTCGTCCCTGGGCTGTTGTAATAAGCATGTTCGTTGTTGATGTCCTGGATACGGCGTTCTGTCAGATCAGGGTACTACGATCTTCTGGGATGTTGAGCCGTGTAGTCTGGTGGAAAGTGACCGACGTTTAAGAGGTTCTTGCTGCCTCCATCATCAGGGCGATGAATCACTGAGGCTACACGGTGATCAAGAACCTAAAATCTCACTATTTCATGCTGGTATTTTGAAACCTATTGGAAGGGGGCATGTGGTTAAGGGGTAAACTGCCTAATCCTTGACGATTATGATGTTTGCGATTTGGTTTTGTATGTTTTCGACAATGAAATATAATGGTTTCGAACATCGCGGCCGAGAGGTTAGCGCTCCTTCGTCTTCGAGAAATCCAGGATTCCGATCTCGTCTTGGGGAGCGGCTATCCTGACTAAGGGATTTTTGAGGTTTTACTCAATGCTTCCAGGAAAATGTTGGGATAGCGCTTTAAATTAGACCACGACCACTTCCTTCTATATATTCTATGGGTTCATCGCGGGTCTGGAGCGTCTAATATACTGACTCCTGGCTACCTCATGCAGTTTTCTTAAAAAATTTTATCAGAAGTATTTTCAAAGTGTCAGTTGCCAATAGTAGCATTGTACTTGTCGCACGTTCTCAAATAAAAATTCAGCAGAACCACGACTAAAGTCTTTCTATCCTTCGCCAGTTCTATTTCGTCTATCTATTCTTTTAATTTTCTCTCGTTCTGCACGACATTCGGTGGCTTGGAATTATTCTATGGCCTTAATAACAAACCATATTCTTTTGAGCTTTTGAATTATTTAATTATTTATTAACAATTCTGTGTAGTAAAATACAGAGCATTTTGCTAATTTTGTGATATATTTTAAAACAGGCGATATTGTGAATATACAAATACGAAGTAATAAACGTAAGAATTATATATTTTCACTAAGAAGCTAATACATGTCTGTGAGCATCAGAAATATTCAGCAACGCAGCATTTGGCTTGTGTGAAGAAGCAAGAAGCTTCAGAACAAGTGTGAAGAGCGAAATTCTTTTATCAGTAGGAAATTACGTAATAACGTAAGTGTAAGTCCTCTGTTTTCACTCAGTGAACTTTATCCGAAAAAAAACTTCGATGTAGATACAATTTTCTTCTGAAACACAGAAAACTGTGTGTTGTTACAAAGATCAGAGATGTAAAGCCTTGATCCTTGAAGTTAAGGTTATCGACCACAAAGCAGATAAGATAAGAAAGCTAACGGCGATTCTAATAGAAGGTGTTTGCCGAATTCTGATAGAGATGTTATTTTTGTTAAGTCGTCATTCACCTGTTTGATTAAGGATTCAGAAAGATCGATTCGTACTTCTTGAATATCCTAATATAGGGAAAATGTAACAATGGCGAATTACTACAGCGTGTGGTCCATCGTTTTCCGTCCCTCGGTTCAAGAATAGTCTTGCCGTTAGACCTTAGGGTCAAAAATCCCTCCTGGCACTTTTTAAAATAATATTCAGTTTTCATTATCATTAATATTACTCGTTCGGAAATGACGAATTTCCTTAGTGCACGCCCAAATATCTTCATTTTGTGCTGTAACACCTCCGAATACTGTCTGCAACCTCCGCGTTAGTTGTATAGGCCTGTTAGACCCTGCTTCTCGTGTTAGACTATCATCATCATTGGCTCTGGAGGACCAGACCTCCGTATTTACAGCCCCCGGAAGTAGGGTGGCCCAGCTATGTCCTCCGGCACTGGGTAATTCGGGTACCTCGGGGGTGCCAGTCCCCGTACCCACTGATGTATGTCCCTGATGGAATATTTAGGCCTAATGAATAATGAGTTTTGAAAGTAAACGACGGAACACGTGGCACGGGAGGATTATCTCCCAGTGCCCGTATTTTGGGTTGTTGGTGTCAGTCACCACTCCAAATATACTCCATGATTTTTCACGAGGGCGGTTCACATTCGTCCCCGAAGGTTCATCGTTTTTTCTAAGCACCGCTGTTACGAAGTTATTTAATGGGAATTGGCAAGCGACACGATTTGTTACACTCTGCTATAAAAAATATTGGTCAAATTTGAACCGGCTGAGTAACACCGTTTATGAGGCGTGCCTGGGGCTGACATAGCCCAGACGCTCGCTCTGTCTGCACCTGAGGGGTGGTCTTAATCTGACTCAGCAGTTGACAGGGCGCAGACAAAAGGAAAGGGCGAAGTTCTTTGCGTGTCCCATAAAAATACCACGTAGAGGCAACTGTTCTGGTACGTTCATCAGAATTTGATCTTTCACCTGAGATAATGGATGAGATATCATCACTGGAATTTATCACGTTGCGTGAGCGGTTGTGATCGGGGCTTATCCACATGCAGATTACCCACCCAGTCTCTTCCGCGCTAAGAAATGATCTTAGATCTTTATATGTAAATTGCTCGTTACCGTCCGAATGAACGTCAATTGGAAGAAGAAATCTCCCGAATACCAAATTTAATGAAAATGCCTTCGGCGTTCCCCGAGTTGTCACATGGGGACAGACGGATATGGCAAAGCAAAGACAGATTCTGGCATCGTTTATTTAAAAATGACCTGAGTGCGTGAAGGTTTGTGACTCAAAGGAAGATGTGAGCGGAGTTGAGAAACTGCTTCCGTACGAAATTATCACGAGTCGTAATTTTAAAGTTATCGGTCAACGGGCCGTTATCACCAGTTTCATTATTGTTATTTTGCACATTGCACAATTTCCCCTCTTTTAATAAAATTTTTCTCTGTCGGAAGTCCGTCACAAAGTCTGATTAAAGAGATTTTAAAATAATTATTATATTTGTTTACCGTCAAATCACAATAAAATAGTAAGATAAGATAATTAAAATGATTAAAATATCATCTTATGTTCCATATCGAGCATTCGATTTACATCGGAACATTCACAAATACCCAACAAGTACTTAAAGATTTCAATAACATAAATCAAAATATTCAATTTACATTAGAACTTGAACAAAACAACACACTAAATTATTTAGATTTAACTATAATAAGAAAAACAAAAAACTTCGAATTCAAAATTTACAGAAAACCTACAGACACAAGCACCATAATTCATGCCTCATCTTGCCACCCCTTCGAACATAAACAAATGTCCATCAATTACTTACTAAACAGAAAAAAATCTATATCCAATATCTACAATAAACAAACAAATAGAATTAAACATCATCCAACAAATTCTTAGTGAAAACGGATATAATAATCACAAAATAAATAAAAAACCTAATAAAACAATAAAACCTAACGAAAATGAAAACATACAAGATAAATGGGCCACTTTTACATACATAGGTAA